TTGTCCCAAAGGACAATGTCATGTGACCATTACACAAATGTCATGTGACCTGCCAGTCATGCTGGTGTGACACAGGTTACAGGTATCTTATCCTAACCAATTGTGAGAGACAGTTAACCGTAACACAAGAAGGATTTTTAAATTTTCCGTCGACACTGGGATTTGAACTCTGGACCTGCCACTTGGGGGTTGACAACCTGACCACTTCATTAGGTCACCACACCTCTAATAACATCAGTTTTAAAAATAAAATAAAATAAAAAAAAATAAAAAAAAATTTTCATATATCTAAATACTGTTTAACTTAATATATAACTTTTTTTTAAATATATCTGTTAAGCTATTATCTATTTTAGAGTATATTATCTAACTATAAACTTCTAAATACTTTTTTGTTAACTAACTTATTTATTTTATAATTTTTATTAATAAGACTAATCCTTGTAAAGTTTACTTGAATCTTAGTATCAACTTTATAATATATGTTTAGTAGTTATAATATACTTCTACTTTGTTCTTAAATTTTCAATTTAGATAAGCTAATAAAACTGTAATCTGTTTTTAGTATACTGAGTTTGAACTAATATTCTTTTCTTCTAATCAGATTTTAATAACCTGATTAGTAATACTCTTATCTAGAAGTTTTTGTCTATTTGGTTTTTTTATATTAATATCTGTTTTCTAAATCTAATCTTTACAGAAATATTGTCAAAAATCTTTATTATTTCTTTATTTAGATTTTTTCAAATGAACTTCTGTTTTTCAATTCTATGGATTTATATAATTACAAGAACTTGTACTACTTGATACAGACTTATATTTTTCTATATAATCAAGATTATACTAATGCCTTATAATCTGCCAGTTATGCTGATGCAATTATAATTACAAATATCTTATTCCAATTAATTGATAAAAAACAATCGCTATAATACAAATGATTGTTTAAATTTTTAGCATTGATAAGTTTTGAACTTACAACATGCTTTTTGAAAGATTGACAACTTATTCACTTCACTAAAATATCACACCTCTTAAAAAAATTAATATTTTAACTTAATTTAATAAATTATAAATCTATTTTTTACAACTTAATATCTAAAGAAAAACTTAAAATCTAAGTTTTCTTTTAACTATTAAATTACAAAAATAATTTCAAAATTTATCAAATTATAAATCATAAAAGTTACAATATAAATTTTTTTAAAATATCAATCTTTATAATTTCTATTAACAGAAACCCAATTGATTTATAAAAAGTTCTATATATGTATTATACTTGATCTAGTATAAACTCAAATTTAGCCATGAGTATTATAAATAACTCTAGTAAAATTACCAGAATTCTATCAACCATGAGCAGCTCTTTAAATTTTCAAAGTATTTGCCATGCACATGTACTTACAATACGATAGATTTAACAATTATTATTGCGTTATATAGAACAAATTCTATTTAAAATATGGATTCGCAAATTAAACTTGTAGAACTAGAGTTCCGAACCGAATGCAAAATCATCATCCGGATCATAATCTGAAATCGGTGAGCGGTTTGAATAATCTCGACGGCGAGAATTATGGATAACTAGTTTTTTTAAATTTGAAGGTGGAGTTCGATTCGATATTATCGAAAAATTTTTAAAAAAATTCAGTTCGAATCTGAGATCCGGACAATAAGCATGAAAAAAAATAATACGATAGTATAAATACAAACCTGTGAATAGTGTTGTGACCTGGGAGGGACTTTATGACTCGAAATCAATTTAGCGTAGGGTCACAGACATAAACTTAGGAACGATAGTGCAGTTAGTATATTCTCTCTTCGTTGTACTCGTTGCGGGTTTTATATCGTTATCGTCGAATAATATTCTCGAATAATTTACTATTATTAATGGAGGGTATTACGAAAGGAAAAGTGTATTACATTTTTCGTAACAACGTACGCACATATGTACGTATATATTAGGCATTTAATTTTTATGCTGTCTACCGCTACGATCACGCAATTTATGTAACGCAATCACCCGAACCCCGGCGCTACGAATTACTTGGGTACGATCAAACGTGCCGAACACACACAGTGTATTATATATTAGCAAAGCAAAGAAAATAATATTGAAGGCTTATACATAGGAAGATTTTTAGCAAAATTTTCGCCAAAGATAGTCGTATGGTAGCCTTCGAAAGTTGTAACTTTTTCTAAATCCAGGTTAACAGAATTGAACATTTAGATAAATTAGTAAGAAAAAAGATGTGTTTATTTTCACAATACAATAATAATGTGTTAAATTTTATGTTTCTGCGTAATAGTAACAGATTGTGAGGTTACATATTCAACCGTTTTGACCCGTTTGAACCGTTTTGACACGGGTGACCCGGTTTACTATAACCCGGATCTAAACTCTAGTATAAACATTGAATTACCCTTAGCCAAAGAGTCGATCAAATTCTTGTAGTTATCCAAATAGCAGCTTTGCATCCATTATGTATAACGGTTGACAATAAACTATATAATGGTGCCTTAAAAGGATTTCATTACAATAAAGCATAAAATATCTTAAACTGGATCAAATTAGGATACAATGTCGTTACCTTTCGTGCTTCATAATCCACTGCAGTATCCAAATGATGCAATTCATCGTCACGGAACTCTTTGATTATCTTTTCATATAAGAACATAATTGTAATGAGTGAGAAACATTAGCCAATTCATTGATATTGAATAATGTAAAATTTAAACCTTTTTCAAATCTTCAACATCCACATTTTCGATATGCAATAAATCTCGCAGTTGACTATCAAATGATTGTAAAATCAATATGTAACAGTGTAACTCTCGATTTCGAGATCGTAATTACAGTAAAAGATGTTTACTCATTATAATGTTCTCCAATTACAGTTTCAACTGCTTCAGTACAAGCCATGGCTGCCTCTTTACCCATAAGTGCGGTGCCGGCACCAAGAATAAAACCTACTGCTTCCCAAATCGGACGCAGCAAAGTAGGCCTTACCCTATAGCGAGGGATCATTTCATCAAACGTACGAAGATGATGTTTTTCTTGGTCCCACATTTCCTGTGGTCAGTTATTTCGGTTATCATGTGATTTTAACAATTATCCGGCAGCTTACTGTGATAGTGCTTGCCAGATACCTATATATTATCCCTTCGAAAATTATTTTTATGCCCATAATGTTTATATCTAGCCAATCAGATAATCAAAAAAATCAAGTGCTAAATTTAGAGGCATGAAATTATTACTAAAACCACTAACTAATGTTAGGGGCAGGAAACTTTGGGGCATGAAAAGAATTTTCGTTATCCCTTAAACCGTCTTGCAGTCTGCAAATTATCATGAGTGATCTGTGATACTGAATCAAGTCTATGTTGCAGCATATTTCAAGCTTCATGATAGTAATAGAACGGTTCAAGGGATGCTCTTCAATTTTTCACTGACTCACTTGAATCACAGGACCAACTTTTTTATCTCTACCTAAAATAAACATCTGACCTTTATAGATCCAATTTGCACCTATTTCTCCTGCTTGATCAACTCTTATCATACCATCAATAAGTTTTTTTTGCTCATCTGTCAGTTTATCATTTTGGGTCGTACTTTTAATTGTACGTTTGTTTTGTAGGCACGCAAATTGGTGCCGTAAAATTTGTAGCCGGTCGTTATTTAAATTGATATTGACAGAAAAAAGATTTGCATGAATCGTTCGGGAGAATTGTCTTAAATATATCGATATCATTTCTGAAAGACATTTATGCAATCATGTATCTATAAGGTTTTTACTGACTCAACATCAAAGGACAGCATAAACCAACATCTTTTTATTAAAAACGGCCAAAATTTATAATTACACAATCAATTATGATTGGCTAATTTTATATAGTCAATTGTAATTGGTTAAAAATTCTTTTATTTTTTATATTTTTAAATATTAAAGGTGTTGATTAAAAATTATATTAACGACCAAATTTACAAGCTATTATAAACTTTAAATTGTTATAAATAAATACAATAGAATAGAGCAATATAAATTATTGTTAGGATAAACTTGATGAAATTCCTTTTAAATTTACTCAGGTATTTGTCAAGAAACCTTCATTCAAAAGTTTCAGAAATATTAGATCTTTAAAAGGATCATATTATAACCAATCAAAATTGTATATCTACTGTGGTGGTGATTTGTGACCCGCCAGGGACGATGATTTTATGCAATTTGCAGAAACCGCAAAATATAGTTTGAAATGCATAATTAACTAAATTCATATAAGAGGTGTAGATATTAAGAAGATATTTCACAATTTAATATATGCTATGTCAATGGATTCCTTTTGAGCGCCAAGAAATATTTTTCGTTGAAAATTCAAGATCACTTGAAAAGTATTTTGTAATTAGGCCGAAACTCTAGAAATTATATGTTCGGCCGGAATTAATATTTGTAACTCGGGCTGGAAATTACGAATTCGGCCAGAATTACCACTACGCATTACAGCTATTATCATAATTCATTACCCTAATCTTTTTGGTCGTTCGGTAACTTACCTAACTCTCCGGAAACTACATCGTTGTCTTCAGACCTTCAGTCCGGGGGGCAGTGATGTAGTTTCCGGAGAGTTAGGTAATTTACCGAACAACCAAAAATATTTCGGGTAATGAGCAGGTGTCCCAGAAATTATAGTTTAGTTTTATCACATACATAATTGATGTTACACGACTGATCTTTCAATCCAACACCATTTTTATTATAGGTGATCTAATAATTTTTTTATATGTTGCACACCGGGTGAAAAATCAGTCGTGTAACATTGACGGTTTTTAAAAAAATTCATCGCCACCATGGCTGTGTCGTGGCGATTCAATTTTGTCAATACGTGGCGAAAGTGGCTAGTAGGTCTACATAAACTTTCGTTTTCTTTTTCTGCTTTCAAATTGATCATTTTACGCAATTCGCAATTTTAGTAATTTTAGTCTGACTGCTATTTTTTTTTAAATGACAGAATTATCAGAAACAACACGTCCTTTATTAGTTGGTCCGGACATTGTTAGCTCGCCTTATCCAATAAAAATGAAAGGAATAGTAATTCAAGGCTTCGGTCGGGGTAGTAAAGAGCTCGGGATTCCAACAGGTATTTAATTTTTATTTTATACTTAATTCTTATTTTATCATACATACCCACTCCGCATTTTTATTTTTTGGATTTTAAATAAAAAGCCAACCTTTCAGAAGCAGCGACAAATGCCCTATGTGAAGACGTAGAAACAGGGATTTATTTTGGGTGGGCACAGGTTGGCAATGATTTATCCGTTTATCCAATGGTGATGAGTTTAGGGTGGAATCCTTATTATAAAAATGAAAAAAAAAGTGCGGTTTGTATATAAAGATAATTTCTTGATCTACTGTATATTTTTGTATTGTTAGAACATTGATTTTTACATCTTCAATGATTATTTCTGTATTTAGGAAGTTCATATTATACATGATTTTCTTGAAAATTTTTACGGAGTAGAATTGCGTGTTATTGTGTTGGGTCGTATTCGTCCGGAACGCGATTATGATTCAATAGGTGAATTTGCAATTACATTATTTCGAAAATTTCGAATAAGTTATCTGAACTAAACGTTTATTATGATTATCTGAATAGATGCATTGATTCAAGACATTAATACTGACATAATAGTAGCTCAAAAGTCTCTTGAGCGACCTTCATATATTACTTTTAAGAGTGATTCTTTTTTCATGCATTAAAACAATTAAATTAATTCTCTGGATAGACTAATTTCGATAATTATAACTATGTATGCGGGTCTCATACGTGTTTTAAAATAAGTGATAGTTATAATTCTAAAAACGTTAACCAATAAAAATAAATTATATAATATAATTATATTAATAGGTAGAACATTCAATAACAAATATAATAAATTTATGTTTCTTTTAGATCTAAGATTTTGTTAGTAAATATATGGGCAAACCCAAGCCAATCAGATTTCACGATTCAAAGACCTCAAAAATTTCAAATCAAAATAACTCAAAATTATGTCTATGAAACCAACTTTTATGTCTTAACAAAAAATGGTTCTTGCATAATTTACCATATATTATGACCCTTTCTAACGCTAAATGTAACTCTAACTAAAATCCGGATACTGTCATCGCTAGTGTTGGCCTATGGCCTGTTATTACCTATTATGACTTATAAAAATTTACTATCGTTATTAAATTACGACTACTTTGGTCATATGTATTTTTATTTTCAATAACCATTACAAGTTCCAAATTATTGCACTAAACAGGAGTCAGGAAACATGTATATATCGTTTGAATTTATCGATATTAAAAATTTTACCCGTGACAAATCGTGTGACTAATAATGAAAAGTTTTACACATATGATCTACGTGACAAATCGTGTCACCGTTGAATATAGTCCTTTGACCCTCTAATAGTTCTACTTTCCTAATGCAATATACCTGATTATTTATAATATCAAATTTTCAATCCAATATTGTTCAGTTTTCGGGTAAGGGAATGTCAGGCTTCGCGCATTTTCGAGGCTCAATTGCTTTAGTCTTGGTACACTGCATTTCCTGCCACGATATGGGGATCATGACAGCACCTGGGACGTGACGTGACATTAAATGTCGAGATTGTAACGCATTAAAATAGAGCCAAATGTTCAAATAAATCAAACCTGCAACGCTCTGCGCGTAAATAACACCAAGTTCGTTTTTAGCAGTGGACAAATAATAGGATCGTGCATCACCCAAAGATATCTTTGATAATTGGATTATCGAATCAAGGGAAGCAATCAACTTATAATATTTGGAATTATTAAATTAATAGGATACAACTTCGGCTCTAATTATATCGCCAAGTCTAAAAGAATTGTAAATTTTGACTTTGTCTTTTTCCGTAGCGCGAACATCCTGCGAACTTAAAAATTTATGAGATTCAAGAATTTTCACAAATACGAACTCAATTACGTTACCGGATGATACCCTGAAAATCTTCTTTGCATGGCATGGTACCAACAATCATTATAGAAACAACAGCTTCTTTAGTTGTCATGCGAATTACTTTTCCGGTTATCTGAAATTTAGGATTTCTTAATTTTTTTATCAAACGAGAATGATATGTTTATTTAAAGAATCTTACAATACTACCGACATCCGGAACTGCAGATTGAATTTTTTCCCTCGTTACAGTTACAATTCGTGGCTAATTTGATTGATACAAATAATAAGTTGCTAATACTTGTGGGTAAATGGCTATGAAATAAATACCTCTCCTTCAGCTGCTGGAGCTAATTCTTGAACGACACCAACAACACTCGCATAAATATACTCTCCACGCTCATATGCTCCTGGTCCGGCGGTGACACCCTCAGAAAAACATAATCTTCGACCGGGAGTTACGTACTTTGTAAAATTTGACATGCTTGAAACTTTTTCGTGTCAAATTTCACCGATCTACGTACAGATGTGTCTAAACACCAATCAGAAAGCAAGATCGGGTGTAACTATAGCTTCGCATTCGTATTCGGTGAATAAGTACTATTTATTTCCCGCAGCGGCGGGAATAAGAGATAAATCCCAAATCAGCCGGGGACCGAAGGGCCCCAGATTTACCGGTTTATTTTCCCGTAGCGGAAATAAGGGAGTTGAATTTTTTGACGTAATAAGTAATAATAAGTAATAATAACAGACGATCGACATTTCAGGGGGTAAATTTTTTACTATGAAATTTGAATGATCGACATTCTATATCAGACGATCGACATTTCTGATCGACATTCTATATGAAATTGAAACGGAAGGCTATTTTCAATCGTCATTTCCAGAGGTTTTCAAAAAAAAAATGCATTCACTTGACCACGTATAATGATCAACTAAACAAATACTTTCATGCTTTCGACTTTGGGGTAAAATAAATAATAAACTTGAGAAGAATCTTACATCTAAAGATTGCTTTTTGTTTCACAATCTATAGTATATATAGTTAATTTAAAATTTTTACAGAGATATATTCTTTAACAGAGAATAAAGTCACTAGTAAACTTATCTTTCTTGCTGAGTTGAAAGATAAGTTATACAAACTTAATACTACTATTATACAAGTTTAATATTACTGTTAACAATTAAATTAAATTAAACTTAGATTACTATTAAGAAGTATTAGTCTAGTTATGAATTACAAAGATGGGTTGCAGATATTTGTCTGTAAGTTTAGCATTAATACAGTAAAACCTTTCTAAGTACATGCTTTTTGGATCAAATTTTAATAACATGCACTTAAAAAACTATAAGAAAAAGTGCATTTATAAAGATTATATATATGTATATGAGTTGAATTTGAGTATATATTTAAAGAAGTTGTGTATTTATAAAGGATGTGCTTAAAGAGGTTTCACTATATGGGTGTGGTGACCTAGTGAAGTGGATAGGTTGTCAACCCTCAAGTGGCAGGTCTAAGGTTCAATTCCCACAGACGACGAATTTTGGAAATTATACCTGTATTACGGTAACTGTCTCTTGTTAATTGGTTGGGTTTTGGGCATCTGTAATCTTAGATACAACAAGTCAGATCTCACCTAACATTGTGAGCTTGGGGAATCTATACGAAGTGTAATATTACACAGTACATATACATAGAAGAATATAAAACTGGTATTGTATAAGGCTTCAGGCAAACTCATGATAAGACCACCAGGTGTAGAAGGCTAAGAAACTGAAGAGACAGAAACTCACTTGGAAATTCCAAGTAAAGAGGTAGCACAAACTTTTGATAGTGCCATTGGACTGATGGAAGCCCATAAAACACCTTTATAGGAACTGTTTGATAAACCAAATGACAAAAATGTGTAAAGAAGCATATGACCAACCAGGTTGCTGAAATCACTGAAGGAAAAAGATACATAAATATACCATATCAGGCCATCTGGATTGGAAGTCTGGGGAGTCAGTTAGTTCTGAGTTGTGGCTAGTAGGAGATAATAAAGAAAAAGTTGGAAAGATGAGTACCAGGGTTTGGGTGAACTTTACAAGAGTAATAGTGGTTTAAGAGATAACCCTGACTGCAAGTATTGGCCTTAGCTATAGTGTCAAACCAGGTTAGCAATAAAAGAAAATATAGCTCACTCTGGTAGATTTACTTTGAGAATAAAAATAATTTAAGAATTATAGTCCTTTGGTCAAATGTGAATAGATCCAGGTCTGTAACCTGGTAAAATTAATACTAGGGTTAGATCAGAGGGTTTAAATAGAACACCTAAGCAGGGATGTTAGGTATAGCAACTGGTGGAGAACTCTCAGGCAGACTCTTTAAATAGGTAATATAGAAAAGTTACATATGTAACTAGTTGTATACTCGTCTAATAGTTCATTATAGATATGTCTATATAAAACATGTACTTGCTATAAGTATTAATAAAAAGCTCAGACCAAAGAGGTCACCTTAATACCAAAAAAAAAAAAAATTTAAAATTAAGATTAGAATTAGGTAAAGCATAGCTTATACTAAAATTTTGTAAGAAATTTTTTTATTAATATACAAAAGATAAGGATATAGTGACTTAGTAAAGTAGTAAAGTTGTTGCATCTAAGATAGTCAGATTTAGAGTTTGAATTCTACTGATGATGATTTTTGAATAAATATATATATATTTGGTATTATATAACCTATATAACAGTCAAACATGATCTGTGAAGTTGAGGGTATTGCTGTTCTACACTCTGGTCCTGTAATTCTAGATACAGGTATTGGTGTAACATATTATGTTATATTAAGAAATATATCTGGTTAAGTGGCAATAGATGGATATTAATCTGATATAAGTCTAATGAAAGGTACTAAAGAGGAACCAATAAAGAATTAGGAACTTATCCAATCTGGATGTAAAGACTAGAAATCTATTTTGAAGTTCTGAATAAGGAAAATAGAATCTCTTTGATAGTACCAGTTAGAAACCAGAACTTTATAAGAGTAAAAGCATTAGTTGTAATAGTAGAAACTATAATTAATAATTAAACTAACATGTAGTAATATATATACAATCACCTAATATACTTACAAACATTATATTATATATATCAAATCTTCTACAAATAAACATTAATGCAGTTATCACTTTTAAGATAATAATATCCTCCACATATATGGACCATACTTAGAAAAGAATAATAACAGTAAATAAATAATAAAACTATTGTAGTGAATAATTAGAAATATGATAACCAGACCCAATGTACTGGGCAGATTATGGTATCCTTTACAACTGTGCAAGGTAAGCTTAAAATAGTGAGTAACTCTGTAGAAGACATTATAAATACTATTTCTACCTCTAATGCTTCATCTTCTATTGAGATAAACAAATGCTATACTAAATTCTTAAAACAACACAACCTATCTCAAATCATTAAATCTGTTATACTTAAAAAATTCATTCAATATCTACATCTAAATAACTTTTTCAATCTAATAAAAATATTTATAAATTTTAAAAAAATAAAATTATACATTTAGTTAAAAACTACAGACCAAATACTATCAAATCATACAAAAATAGATCCTTTTCTTTATGATATATACTATCATTTACCATTACTAACACCTTTCAATTAGACAATTCCTAACACAAACTCTATTAATATCTTTACATCCAACCAACCAATCCATCTAAACATTACTACAATCCCTCCTTCTATTCTATCAATAATCACATCTAAACATATCTCTATACCAATTAAA